CCCCCCCCCCCCCCCCCAAGAAGAAAGGTTTTCTCATGTACAGCAAAATATGTTCTTGTTAACACAGTGTTCTCATCCAGCTCAGCCAATTGCAATCTTGGAGAAAGCACAGGAACTTCCATATAATTATCTTTAATAAACTGGCCAAGATAAAAGTAATGATATCTTAAGACACAGAGCGCATAATAAAATATCTCTCTATATAAAAGCATGAAATGACATGCTAAAATGAGGAGAAAGAGGCAATTTACGTATTTTATAGCTTTGGCACCTCTGCAAGAGAAATCTTGGATGCGGCACTGTTCACCAAACTAAACTTTTTTTGGAACAGACCGTCTCTTTTAGAATAAACGGATGGTGTTAGCTCTGGTTTGCAGCGATACCCTGTGAAGGGGGTAATGGATTAGACCCAGATTGGGGCTGAAGGCTCTAATCCCTGTGTGTTAATGACTCTAACGAGCTGCCAGCCCCAGCCCTGCGTGGGGGGGGCAGATCCAGACACACACCTCACCGATGCCACGGAGACCCCCAGTAAAATCCAGCCCTTTCCACATCCGATGCAACCGGATTTAGCAAACAAGCCTTGACCTTGAGGAAATCTTCCCAAATTAGGGCTTAATTCCGAGTTAGCACCGAGCCCCTCGCTGGGTATTAAAGGGGCGATTCCTGCTGCCAAAAGCTTTCTGTAAAGGGTTTGATTTCCTCCTGGGTTAATCCTGGCGAGTGCACTTCTGCCCATTAGATCGCTCGGTATTAATTTCGATCTGTACAGGGTTCATTCCAGCGTGCTCTGCTGAGAGCTCTGCTGATTGCAGTGGTTAATTACCAGCCAAGCATCGCCTCTGTGGGACGTGGTAGCAGCCTGTCAGCCTCCAAGGGGCCCCCAGTGAGACCCCAAAGCCCTCGGGGTCCAGGCACTGCCCACCGGCCCCGGCCAAAATTGAGCAAAAGTTTTGTGCATCCCTTTACTCAGCAGTTTCCAGAGGTAAAAGAACAGTGGGATGGAGGAGGGAAGGCAGCTCCCTCTCGTTCAGCATCTCCCCGGGATTCAGCCCAGAGTCAGGGGATGCCAAATAGTGATTTTTAATCTGGGTCTGCCCAAGGTTACGATGCTCTGTCCTCCCCCCCCAGCCATGCTGTCTCTAAACCCTGCATTGCAGCACCACGTGGGGTTTCTCTATCAGTCTTCAGGTGCACGAGCACCCACCCTGGGAGCAGGGCTGTGCAGGTGTGTGGGTGCAGGCAGAACGGGCTGTTCTGTGTGATATATATATATATATATATGCACAAGAAAAACATAAAAGCAGGTTCTTTCTTACCTGGTGAGCTGAAGGCTCTGATTGCTGGCCTATATGAAATATTTAGATCATGCACAAGAGATAACTCATAAGATATAATGTCGATGTAGGATGGGAAGCTAGTCTTTATTATCACAGGTGTAAATTTTCACACCTCTGTTATCAATTTTGCAATTATAACCGGGTTTCCCGGTAAAGTAATTTACTACTCACTACCATATAGGATGAAGAAAATGATCATTTATCCGCCTTCAACTCAATTAAATATTCATCGTTCCCCAAAAAAGGGGGAGAGAGGATTTAAATCACTTCCAAACTGTTCTCCAGCATTTTTTATTTTTTTTTGTAAGGATGAAGAAGTCTGCCTTGAATAAAAGTACAGATTTGATGGAGAAAAAAAGACAATGGGAACGTAATACATTCAGGGATGCAGCGCGGATTTGGCTCATCAGTCATTTGTGTTGTGGGAGTCCAAAACAGTAATAAAATCAACACAAATCCAGGGTTAGCACTCGAAGAGAGGGTTGATTCTCAAGTCAGATGAAAGCAGCATCACCCCAGCTCTGATTAAAGCAAGCAGGTTGTGCTTGGGGAGAGGGGAGGACAGGGGAGCTCCTCTGGTTCATGGTTTTCTGGGCAGATGCAGGATTCTGCTGAGCAAACTCTGACCTTTCCTGGTTTTGCCTCCTTTGGGAACTTAGTATTTTGTGCCAGAAATTTGGGATTTCTTCATTTGCATGTAGAGAATTTGGGTGTTTGTTTGGATTTGAGGGTGTTTCACTTATTTTTCTTAATCTGAGGTCCTGCTGTCTGTCTGTGGGAGCTCGATGTCGAGCTGTGAGCACGGTGGCATCTCATCTCCTCTCCAGCACTGGCAGACAACTCGTTTTTAGGGCTAAACATGAATACCAGATCCTTTCCCAGCAACACTCCCAGGGCTGGAGCTGGATGCTATGGAAGAAGCCAAATCCACAACTGCAAAAGAAAACATGGTCCCAATCAGCGTTAATTACTCAGGAGCTCAACTCTCAGCACCTTTCTCCTCCTCTCCTGCTTTTCTCCCGTCCTGCCTCTGCTCTGTCAACCCCTCCATCATTAAATCTGTGATGTCTGGTGGCTCCAAACAACGCTCCGGTTGTTGGCTAATTCTCAGTGAGACTTTTATTCCAAAGGCTTCTCCAACAGCCTGATGATATAATAACAGCTTGCTCATTACCCCGAATATAAATAGTTGAAGTATCCCCCGAGAATGGACACAGCTGGTGGAACTTCCCATATTAGCACCGCATTAATATTTATGGCAGCCCCGCGTAAGTATGCAAAATATTGGCATCCCTCCATGCAAAAGTTTACACATCTGTCATTACTGACTCTGCCCCGACACATCACAGGTTAAGGAAAGAGGGAGCGGAGCCTGCATCCCGGCTGAAAATCACCACGAGGCAGCTTCAGAGCTCATCCAGCACAGTTTTCCCCAGTAGACGAGTCCCCCATTAATTTTTGGGAGGGCTGGCAGCCCCCCCGGGTGCCCCCCCACCCCGTAGAGCCACCGGCATCCCGCTGATTAAGGGGACGTTTGTTTTGGCTTATGAAGTGAAATATTAAAGGACGTGATGAGAACCAGCTAATTGTACATATAACCTTTAAGATGTCTCGGACAGGATTCCAGCCTTCACCTCGGGTTATAAAGAGAAAGTAATGGGGCCATAAAAACACATTTAAGTATGCCTTTAAAGTTTAAGGAGAGTTTAATTGCGGGCACTGGGGTGCCTGGGAGGAGAGCCTCTCGCAGGTAGCGTTTCCCCAGGAGAGGCTCAGCCAGGGCCAGGCTCAGCATCCAGCTCCCAGGCTCTGCCTGCCCCCAGGGGAATGGGTTTGTGCTAATAAATGTCCCAGCTGCAGGTCAGATTGTAAATGAAAGTGATATTTAATGGCCCAGATCCTCCACTGGTGTAAACCAGCCCCCTCCAACTGCTCACGCTGGGCTCTGGCTTGGTTTAAATCCAGGTGTTACTGACCTGTGGACATGACTTTGGGAAGCTCTTGTGAGCCTGACACGGGTTTGTGATGCTCCCAGGGATGGAGCAGCAGCAACGAGACAGCCCTGGGCAGGTCCACAGCAGCCTGAGCAGATGCACGAGGGACCCTCAGCATCAAGGTGCTCCCACCAAGGAAGGACCCTCTGCCCCACAGCGCCCAGCACCACCAGGAAAAGGGAAATGGAAGAGGGGAAAAGGGAGGTGATCTTTTTTTTTTACTTAATTACAGTGTGATTTTTAGTCCTGTGGGTGCAGATTAATCTGTGGCTGCCTGTGGAGCTGGGTGAGAGCCCCGGGAGGGGTCCCCATGGGGGATGCCACCGGCAGCACCATGCCCAGAGCAGGGGGGAGAGCAGGAGAGTCAGCAACGCATCGAGAGGCAGGAGCTGAGCAGGGTCAGGAAGAGCTGCACACACGGGAAGATGCAGAGCAGAGATCAAAGTGCTGATCTTTTTTTTCTGTAATCTAGAAAAAGCTTTTATTGAGGGGAAGCTGAAGAACAGAAAGCAGAACAAAATCTGGAGCATTTCTACTGACTGATGGCATCCATGAACACCGCAGGCTCCCGTGTAACTCACAGCCTGTGGCTGAAGGCTTGAGCACAAGAAACTCCCATGTGACAAGTGTCTGATGGACCTCGAGGGGCTGATAACTCTGAACGACACCGAAATGGGGACACGCAGACCTTAACGACGTGCCCTAATGGAGATGCAGGAGGGACACCACCAGCTGAATGACCCTCTCAGAGACAGTGGTGGGGTGCTCCGAAGCCAACGTTGGTGTGCTCCGAAGCCAACGTTGGTGTGCTCCAAAGCCAACGTTGGTGTGCTCCAAAGCCAACGTTGATGGAGCAACGTAGAATCTGCTGTCAACCATACAGATAGCACAGGGGTTCTCCACCTCAGAAACGTGGCCAGTGAGACACCACTTGAACAGTGAATATTTTTGGAGACCCCCTTTGAGGGCAGGGGGAGGTTTGGTCTGTGCAGGCACCGACTTTCCCAAGGCTCCTCAGAGCAGAGAGGGATGTGGGGGGAGGCACAGGAGCAGCAATGGGACCTGCTGCTGGTCCTGGGGAGGAAAAGGGTAACAGGGACCCCACTCCTCGCTGCCGCGCTGGGTAAAATTAATTGATAAAACATAATCGCTGTATCAATGCCTTTTTAGAAAAGATAAAGCACATTTCAAAGCTAATTTAGGCCTGCAGACAAATGGCTTAAAGAAGAGCTACTGTACTGAAAAATGTCCATGTCATTTTTTCCCCAAATCATAGTTTCAATGCACACAGCCTCAGCCTGACATTCTGAATTATGGCTTTTATTAAACATTAGTAATAGAGTGCACTTAAATCATGGTTTTCCTGTAAAAGAGAGATGTGTTCAACTCAGATCTGCACATTTTAATGCCATATTTCTTCCTTTTACTCTCCCCGCAAGATAAATTTACTTACTCCACAAAAATGTTTTGCTGAAAAGAATAATTCATCCTTCAGTGTCCATCTAATGTACCTTGTGAGTAATGTGAAACGATGCAAAAATTACAATGCACCGGCCATGTCTGGAATGCTTAGATGCCTCCGCGTTAGAGGTTATGCACACACAGTATTGAAATTAGATTTAACAACTATCATCTTTTACAATGTTGCCTTGATGATTTTTTTTTTCCCCCCCCCCTTTTATAGCTCTGATCAGATGTCTCCTGAATACATTATCGGTTACAAACCTTAGAATTTGCTGCTCTGCAAGCCCTGCTGAGCTATGAGCCAGGTTGCCAATAGCTGCATTTTTATTTTTTTTTAAGTGGGAATATTTGTAGCCACAATTTGCTCTAGCAGGCAGAATTCAGGTGATTTTTTTTCTTTTTTTTTTTTTTTTTTTTTTCCTCCGTGAGTAGATCAAAAAATAGGTTGGGGGGTTAGACAGCTATGGAAAGAGCATCCTCCGGGTACCAGTTTGTGCCCTGCTGAGCCCCCAGGTTGTCACAGAGCGGGGGCACATCTGTGCCCCATGGCTGGTTGCCCCGGGAGAGCTCAGCATCCTCACTATGGGGGGGACAGGCTCCATCCCAGTGTGTCCCCCCACCCCAGGCATTAATGTGGGGCATTTTACCCAAACTCTGGGTCCAGCCGTCCCCCCCAGGTACACACAGACAGCAGCAGAGCCAGCCCCTGCGACGTGACCTTTATTTAAAGGACGGCAGCCGTGCCGTGGAATCGATGTCCCTCTGCCGGGAGCTCTGCATGGGAGCTGCATTGCAGTGTCAGCACCGGGGCTGAGCCAGCTCTCACCTCACTCCACCCCGACCCACTGACCCGCAGGAGAGCAGGGTTTGGAGGTTATAAAGCACCTCTAGATACTGGGGCTGCTGGGTTTGCTCAAAATCCTGATGCTGTTAGCTCAGAGTTCGATTAACGGGGAAAAGCCCTGTTCGGAGGAAGCACTGCAAATATTTTGCTTTATATATTGGTGGCACGGTATGGTCATTAACTAATTGTTCTCCCCAAACTATTCCAACTCTATTTTGTCAGCTCCAGGTCCCCGGGGGGTTACAAGGAAGCACCATCCCCAGCAGCTCTCCCCTGGGGCTCCCCCAGCCTCACACTAAGGCACCGCAGGAATATTTGTGATTTATAGGGGTTTTTTTTTGCATTGGTACCTGGGACTCCCAGCAGGGTTATGATCCCATTACAGAAAGCCTATAGGAAAACCCATCCTGCAGATTGTTTGCCAGAGAGCTATAAAAATGTGACTAAGAGAAGCGACTTCATACGTACCACACCGCAGTTTAGCCAGGTGACATTTCTAACGGCGGCTCTATCAGCTCCAGCAGCAATTCAGAGGCTCACAGAAAAGGGCTGTCTGAATTAGCTGCTCTACAAAGAGTCCCCAAGGAGCATGGAAAAGGCTCCTGAATTTGACCTGCTGAACTGAAGTCTGGTGGGTTTTTATTAAGACCTAAAATTATTGCTGTGCTCCCGCTGTTTGGTGGCCGACAACAGGGAAGTCACTGGACGACAGACATTGGCAGTGACTTTATTGATAGCTTGGTGGCTTTGGCTGTCTTCACTATGGTCCCTTCCAGTGAACTTCAGTTCCATTCAAATGTCCCCTCGAAGAGCATAAATGCTTCCAAAAGGAGGTGGAAAAACCTTCAGGACATTAGCTAATAGCATGGCAGAGGAAGAGCCTGGCTGCGCCTGTAACCTCAGCAGGCATCTTCACGTGGGAGGATGTAAACTCTCTCTCAATTATTTATTGACCCAAAGACATCGAATTGGACAATTAACCTTGAAAATTTAATTTAAGCACCATAAAAGAAACACCTCCTCAAAAACCTGTCCTTAATAAAAGTCAGAAGAACAAACTGTTGCAGGTTCCACCATGGCCCGTTGCAGGAACTGGGAACTTTGGGGGGTTTGTCCCTGTGGGGACAGTTAGTGCTGGGGGAGATTTGGCAGTAACGGAGCAATTTGGAGAGCAGGGCAGAAGCAGCCCCACCTGTGTGATCCTCCCAAGGATGCTCCTCCTTCCCCCCAGCTGCAGAGGGAACCTGGGCAGCCTCAGGCTCTCTCTGCCCCACACAACCCCAAACCCTGCAGTTCCCCAGTGCCTCAGTTTCCCCATGGGGAGGGAGGAGATAACACAGACACACTGGAAAGGCAACAGAGCTGGAGGCTGGGAGATGTCTCCACTCCCTTCTCTAAAAGCATCGGGCCAATGGAGCTGGTCGGAAGGGTTTTGCCAGACACAGGATTTTACTCAGCCTGGAAACTCCTTGTGTTTCAGTTTGGCAGCAAAAGGCAGGTTTTCCCCTCAAATCCCCCCCACTCCCCCTTGGTGCCGGCCACGCTGCGCTCCTCCGACGCCACTAAGTGATGGAAGCTGCAGAAGGCTTCAGCAATTTATTCTGTTTAATTTCCTCCACAAAGGTGTTTTATCCTCACTAATAAAAAGAGTGGAACTTGATCATTTCTAAAATATTGTCCCTTCTAAATCTTTATGGCTCAAAGTGGACTGAGATCATTAGAAGTTACTTTATGTGCAGCTCAATCAGCTCCAAAGGGCTATCTCAGTCACTGCGTGCTTGCTGAGAGCAGATCCCATTTCCCAGAGGCAAAAGGACAATACTTAATCACTTCCTCGCTTGTTAGGTGTTTTAACAATTTGTATTAAGCTTCATCAGTCGGAGCTTTCATGCCAGATTAAAAATGATAGTTCACTTCTCCGTTATTATAGGACATCATTTGTTTTCTTTTATTTTGCTGGGCACTTGCATGCCACCGTAATTTCACATGAAAATATATGACTGATGTCACCCAGAAGTAATTAGGTTTTAAAAGCCTTGATTGCAATAGACACGAGCGTTACGGCTTTATGGTGCCAGTGCACTGCCATCCCTTTTATCGCTGTTGATTCTGCAAGTATTTCATAGATCTGTCAATAGGAATAAGTTAGCTGATGTTGACTGGAACTATTAATCAGAAGGAAGGAGAATATACATCCTTATTTCTGTGCCCAGGCTCGATAGCTCAGTACAAACCTCCCTGCCCAACTTTGCAACACCCCGGGGTGTTTCAGGGCAGAAACCAGGGAGCTGTGGGGCAACCCTGGGGTCCTCCAGGGCCATAAACACATCCCTTCAACACCCTGCCCTCAGGAGATCTGCTCTTTGCCACTCATTTGAATACTTCCCACCGGACATGAAAATTGTGCTTTAATGTCTGGGGAAGCACACATTTGATTGTTTCAGCCTTCAAATAATATTTTTACATTTTATTTTATTTATTCATCAGATTCCAATAAGGGAGGGATGTAGCTGGTGCCTTCCCCACGTGCTCGTCAGGCAGAGAGCAGGTCAGGGCAAAGAGCTCAGGTGTTTGCAATTATCCATTTAACTGGGCTTCATTTACACCTCAAGTCTCAACTCCAGCTGTGAGGAGTTAGACCGCTCTTGCCCAAAGGCATTTCTGCTCTCCTGGGAGCTGGGGAGACCTTCTGGGGCCCTGACCAGGAAGGGATTGGAGAGACATCCAGGGAAACGAGGTCCTGGTCCTGCTGCAGGTGAGTGCAAAGCGTCCATCCAGCGCAGAAGGACCCAGAATTTGCCCAGGCAGATAAATGTTGATTTAGGTCTCAGAAAGACTGAGGAGCTTGGGAAATCAGGCAGGGTTATTGAGGAGAGTCTGTGTGCAGCCTGAACCATCCCACAGAGTGAAGAAAACCCCTTGGGCTTTGTCATGAGGACCGGAGTACAGAGAAGTCCAGATGCTTGTTTTGCTTGTGACATCAAGTTTCTTGTTTTAAAGTACTTTGTCGCTTTCCACAAAAGCAGAAATGTTAGGTATTTGCTTTTAAAGAGCACTTTTCCCACCTCACCCTTTCTTCAGATGTCACCTCCATCGTAAAGTCCTCCCCTAACCTCAGGGAAGGTGCCCCTGGATGAGGCAGACCCAAGGCGCTGCCATTGTTCATTCTTCAAGCCACCCCCATGAAACGGATGTGCTGGGTCCTATCCTAGTACATCAGAACCTCCTTTCTCTCTGGTTACAACAACCTTTTAATCAAATCTTGGGCAAATCTCCCAGGTAGCCAGAGTGCACCTTGCTGTGCCAAGAACAGAGAGTCTGTTCCAGAGCTGGGGACCTTCTCCCACCCAGTTCATTCCAAACCTTGATGGCTACAGCTACAAAACCCTTTGAGTCCAGTAAAGGGTGGAAAATTGGAGGTCTCCTCTGGAGCACCGCACTGTCATTACTTTCCCAATGCCCAAGTTGTCCCCTAAGAGCTCTTCTGTGCCACACTCAGGAAGTCCAGCCGTCCAGGAGACACCAGGAAAAAGTTTGTAGGTTCAGGTGCCAACTTCTGTGCATTAAAGGAAGGAGTGAGGAAACTTCTCTCTGCTGGTTATGTAGTGGGAAAAGGACTTTTCCTGAGCTATTGCTTTCATGAAGGGGGGGCTGACTGCCCTGTAATTCATCAGAACTTGGTGGCCCCAAGGGTTTCATCATGTGGGAGAGGCATCCCCTGGCTTTTCCCCCCAAAGTACTGTCCTTCTGGGGGGCTCTGCCAATAGCCCCCACGAACCTTTCTCTTGAGTCCCGATTAAAACAGGGGCTGGTTTACACTTTCCTTCTTCTTTCCTTTTTTTTTTTTTTTCTCCCCCTGAAGAACATTCTAGACAGCAAAGCCAGGAAGAAAAAAAAAAGGTTGAATTGCCAGCAGATAAGCACAATTTCACTTGACCCCTGAGCTCTATCGGTCACTCCTAACAATGGGATGTCCTCTTATCTCAGCACACCACTTAACACCCATTAATGCTTTGGGGAGTTAGTCCAGCTCTTTAAGATACCCATGTAAGGATTTATTTCA